TTTTATACTTTGTGTTCTATGAATGTATGTGTGAGTCATGAGACGGTGCATAGTGGTGGGCGATCTCCAACCTTGTGATAGGTAGACTCATTTTATCCTAGTCGATGGGTCGTGACCGTTGATGTTGAACCTCGGCACGACTGTACTCCCGCTGACGAGTTTGGGTTTACCCCTGGCGGCTTTTGATCTGTGTACACATGAGTATAGTGATGAGTAGGAGACTGGTGTGATATATCTTTTGACCATGTACTTGCTTATGACTCTAGTATAGGATTCCTACCAATATATTATGCATAGTGGTGAGCACCTCGTTTATATTTGTGCTCATCCCCACCTGCTCTTCACTGATGCAGGTTAAGCACGTGTTGGGCATGACGAGGCTGAAGACGAGTGGATGGTCAAACATTATTAATACTTTTTATTTCTTCTGCATGCTTTGATATTTATGATTATCAGACATTGTTATTGTTCCCTATCGCTTTTGGGATTGGTTGAAGTGTTTGAACCATGTGGATTATTATTATCAGTTTGGATTATGTTGACAATCCTATTGCTAGATATGTTGAAACCTAGTCATGGAACTTGAATTATGTTTAATATTCTCGTTTCCTTTATGCTGATTATGTGTTTAACTTTGTAAAGTTCTTGAGCAGCGCCAAATATTTTATAAATCGATAAATGGTTTTGAAATATTAAAACAAGATTTTTGGATAAGTCTGGAATTTTCTTTAAAAATTCTTTGGGGCGTTACAGTTTGGTATCAGAGCCAGTCTGCGTTTCTGTAGACTGGTTTATATGTGATTAAGTGATTATGCAAATTGATCTTGTGTGTTGACCACTCGTCTTCGTCATGCCGCACTGCTTACGGTATGTTTTAAATAAGTATTGATGTATATACTTAACCAATGTAATGCTAATATTTGGGGTTAGGTTTTATCCACATTTAAAACGTGAACTCTAAGGTTGAACTCTAGACTTCTTTTATTTTTGTGCTAAATCTTTGCGGCTCATTTTTCAATGTAGAGAAATGGCTCGTCAAACCTGCAATAGCAATCAACAGTAACCACCTCCCCCACCTCCTCTTCCTCCTCATCAGCATGCTCCGGGTAGAGATCCCATTACCCAAGCTGTGATTAATTTCCGTAACATGTATCCTCCTGCGTTCACCGGAGTTGAGGGCCCCGAAGCTGTGGTTGAATGGCTTAGGCAGCTGGAGAGTATCTTCGATCTGCTGTTCACCACTGATGAGGTGAAAATCCATTGTGCCTTGTTCGTGATGACCGTAGATGCTAGGACTTGGTGGAATCACTATTGGAGGATTCGTCCTCGTGCTGAGAGGGATGCCTTGACTTGGTACAGGATGGTTACGATAGTCAAGGACAAGTATTATCCAAAGGCTCACCGTGCCCAGATGATGAAGGACTTCTGGGAGCTTAAGCAGGGACCCCGTCCCGTGGATGTCTACGAGCGCGACTTCACCCGAATGTGCGCGTTTGCTCCGATGCTCGTAGATACCGATCAGAAGAAGGCCTTTCGTTTCTGTGATGGTCTTCGCCCCGACCTTTGCTACACCCTGACTGGCCACGGAGCTCTGCCTTACTCCGAGATGGTCCGCCGAGCCACCGAGTTAGAGGTTTGCCAGAACGCCCAGAGGGCGACTGCCCCATCCTACCAGCAGACCCCTATGATTCAGACTATCTCAGCTGTTGCGCCCGGTTCTAATTCGGGCAAGAGGAAGGCCAAATACCATCAAAACAAGGAGAAAGGAAAAAAAGGGAACTTCAGGAGGCGTGACGACCGACCCCCTCAGTGACAGCTTCCGAGGTGCCCTAATTGCGGCAAGTTCCATGGGCCAGGAGAGTACAAAGCAGCCGATAGACACTGTTTCAATTTCCAACGTGTCGGACATTTTTCGCATGTGTGCCCCGAGCCGAAGAGGCCACAGCAGCAACCACCCCACCCTCAGCAGCAGCCACCCTACCCTCAGCAGCAGCAGCAGCTTCCACCTCTACCCCATCAGCAGCAGCCCAGGCAGCCCCCACCTTACCAGCAGAGGGCTGGGGGTCAGGCCCGCGTGTATACCATCACTCATGATGAGGCAGCCAACAACGCAGGTACTATGTCCAGAATGCTTTTGATATCCAACGTGCCTGCATATGCTTTATGTGATACCGGAGCCACTCATTCTTTTATTTCTACTCGTTGCTTGGAGGCTTTGTCCATTAGTAATGTGTGCCCTTGTGACCCTCTCGAGGTTAGTCTAGCCTCGGGAAAGATTATTATTTCTGATTCTATGATTCCCAATCTTCTAGTCAGTATTGGTGGGCATATTTTGGAGGCCATTGTTTATGTGATTGAAATGCGGGGCTTCGATGTGATCTTGGGCATGGACTGGCTCACTCGCTATCGAGCTGACATCCGGTGCCAGGAGCGCGAAGTCACTCTCTTTTCCTTTTCCGATCAGCTAGTTGTATTCTTTGGGGTGAAGTCGAGGATTGTGCCTCGAGTCATCTCTTCAATGCAAGCTAGGAAGAGCATTTCCAAGGGTAGCTGCCAAGTCTATCTTATTTCTATGGTGTTTGTAACACCCCGCTTTTCGTACATTGAATTTCTAGAATAAATTTTTCTTTGTATAAAACTTTTGAAAACTTTACTTGAACTCAGGGTGCTACTCACTTTGAAAAACATTGCATACGTGAACCTTTTCATGAACATAAACATTTCATACATGAACATAGAACATTTCATGGCATTGCCTTGAGAACTTACACTTTAACTTGACTTGCATGAACCATGAATTATTTCATAAAATAAACATTGCATAGCGGAAGCTTTTAAAACATAATTATCATAAACATAAAAACATGTGACCACCCTCGCCATTGCTCCTTTGCCAGCTCGCCAAAAACCTGGGTGTGGAAAACAAATGGGGTGAGCATTTCCACTTACTCCGTGAGAGATCCCTCTACGTTATCATCCTAATCAACTATAAAGCATGAAATCGTTTTCGTATACTCCACATAATCATGAGCTCCCGACGAGTGGTGACCCACAAGTCGAAAGACTTTCTTGCTTCTACAACACTATTAGACAACTAAACACTAGAGTCTTTGCATGCAGGCGATTACATTCTTGTCACACTCCCACCACTCATCAAACTTCTTATACCACTTTATGGTGGTGGAAGAACAATGCCTTTCGCAGATGGCACGGTCAAATAGGCTTGATGAGAGTACCTTTCAATAAGTTGAAGGAAGATAGCCTTTCACTAGGCTCCGTACAGTCTTATCGACGGGGACAACTGTTCGAAGAGTGCACCAACGAAGGTTACACATAATCACTTACACCCTCTAACCCTAGCACTTAGCTACCCTCTAGAGTTATAGTCCATGAACCTTGGTACTGCAACAAACGACTAGCTCGAATGTTGGAACATTGTATAAACATGGATACTATGCAAGCTACTTAACTTCATTCATAGCATAGATAATTAAAGAGGATTAATAAAGTAGAACTTCCCCCACCTTTTCAGTAGAATGCTCGGCTTAGACTTGAACTTGACTTTGAAAGAAACTCGAGGGCTCGACTCCTCGTAAAACTACATTCATTGGGGTCATGTCTTAGTGTCTTAACATGGAACTTATTCTTATTCTTATACTTATACTTATACTTATAATCATATATAAGCTTTAAAAAAACTTTGCTCGCTTGGCTTCGCCTTGCTTGCATTCTTTTGAAAACATTCTTATTTTAAAGCATTTGGACAATTGAACTCTTAGCTTGCTTGCTTACGGATACTATTCTAATCATATAAGGTTCATCATGATCTCACTCAATGCTTTACAGCTCATACATGTCACATAAGCATGCTTAATAAACACAAGACTCACTTAAACAATTACACCTAGTCCTTTGAAAAAACTTAACACGTGCTGTATTTTTAAAACGAGCATATCTATCAACATACAAGTCGCATTAACATGATTCAAGTCTCATATTGCTCCTAAGACAGGGTACTACAACTTTCATTTAGCATGCAAAAGCAAATAAGGTCATATACATGGTCCAAAACCAGTAAACATTTAAAGCTAAAATACTGTCCAGAGATTTAACATAAATTCATGCGCGGTTTTACGAAAGCAGGTATCATTCATTACTCGGACCATATTTTTGTTTGATTCCAGAACCACATGAAAGATAACACATAGAATTACAATTTCAATGCAGACTTCAGGTTCATTTGAGCACATTATCATATCATAAACACACAAAACATCCAAACCTAACTGCAGCCGGATTTAAGAAAAACTGCTCGCGCAACAATTTGGTAAAAATCATAACTTATTCGTTTTAAGTCGAAATTGCATGATTCCAAAGCTCACGTAAACACAACTGAACGAACTACATATCATATGAAGAGCTCGAAAACCGAAAACACAATATCAGGGGCCTAAACTGCTCCCGAACAGACAGCACGAAAACAGCAATTACACATGAAATCATACCAATTTTATCCGAACTTCTTAACATGTCGAAAGCAACATATAATCGATGATTCTAGGCAAATTTATCACACAATAGGACACGATTATGAACACATAAATTGACAACAATTAACCCTATGCACATATCATTCAATCAATTCTTTAGGAAGCCCGGCAAGGCTCCGACCAATTCCAATTCATCATTTAAATCAAAATTATTTACTCGGACTTTAAGCAAGCATACGAGGTTCAATTATCAAGTCTTAACATACTAATAATTTGTTCATGATTATTCGAATTCAAAATAGTAGTCCATAGAGGGTAAGCAATAGGGTTTTACCGCTCGGGAGAGGCTAACGGTTCGAAAGAGGGCTTGGTTGAACTTGGCCGTGAACGTGGAGGGGTTGTTCGTGGCTAGACGATGGGCTGCGGTTAAAGGCTGGGATCCTTTTCGGCTCGGCCGCTCTCGCTTGGGCTCGCCGGAATCGCTGCGAAGGTGCTGCGACGATGGCGAAGGGCTGCTGCACGGTGTCGAATGTCGGAGGAGCTGCTGTCCGCGGCGGAGGAGGCGGCTTGCTGCGGTGGCTGTGGCTTGCTGCGGCTCGACTCACGGTGTCTGAGGGCTAGGGTCTGCTCGGCGTGGGGAGGAGCTGCGACGGCGGAGCTCGCGGTGACGAAAGGCTGCAGAGGTGCTGCTTCACGGTGGCTGGGACGCGGCGGACTGCGTCGGCTACGTTTAACGCTCCGACGGAACTGGGCGGGGCTCGACGGCTACGATGGGTACTCCGACGGAACTCCTCGGGTCCCGATAGCATTGCTTCGTGGAGGGCTGCTCACTGCTGCACAAATCGCCGGAAAACGCAGAGAAAGGGCGGTGATTTGAGTGATGATGATGGTGCAGAACTTGGTCGCGGGGAGGGTGATGATCGCCGGACTGCTGGAGAGGAACTTCTCCTATGGGTGGTGATGGTGACGATGATCGGCTACTGTTCTGATGGTGATTGACGATGAAAAGCGAGAGAGGGAGAGAAGAGAGAGGGAGAGAAGAGAGAGGTTAAAAGAGAGAGAGTGCCGAGAGAGATGAGAGATATTTAATGTGTGGGATTTGTACCGTGTTTAAAAAAGAACTCTTGCACAATAGAACTAGGTAATTGATATAGGCTAGGACTCTGATTGCTTGGATGAGGAATAAAACATCGTGAAGTCTTTGAGCTTTCATCTGGCTTAGGAAAATTGGACTGTTATTTGAGCTCAATTTATCATCTTAATATTTATTATCTTCAATAATTAAAATTGTCTTAATTAAATTAAGCCATTTCATAATTAAAATTATATTAACATTATTGCATTAATACTTAGGAAAATTAAATAGATGAGGACATCTAAATAATGCCCTTTTAATCATTAACTTGATAAATAAATGAGTGTGGACACTCACTCAATTATCACATAAAATCGAGCTTACAATAAAAATAAAAATAACTTAATAAATCATTAAATTAAACATAAATAATATCCATGAAAATAATACTTAAGCACAAAATGAATGACATGAGTTTGGGGTGTTACAATCTACCCTTCTTAAAAATTTTCCGTCCTCGGAAATTGTTCTTATTTCTAGAGTTCATCAAACATAAGAAACGGCTTAGCTTCTAATTACTCCCAACACTTCCATTCGAGTTAAGCTCCTCCTCAGCTGGCTCAAGTTCAGTTGGGTCATCTTCATTGGTCTCCAATCCGGTCTCCAGTGGAATTTCCTTCTCTTCCCACAAGTTTCCTACTTTCAGAACTAAGTCGTAAAAGCTGACCACATCCTCCTTCTTTCGATTCCATCTCCCATACCTTCAATCAATAGCTCTATATAGAGTCTATTGACATCGGCCTTCCACTCCAGTGGCAACACGGTGAGTAGCTTCTTGCAGCCATCCCAATGGGACAGTGCATCTTTCTTGATCTTCCTATCCTTCCCCATTTTTCTTGCACCTTCCCATAACTCGAATATCTCTTGGACGTTCACTCCAACAGTTTTCTGGGAGTCGTAGCCGTACTGTCGGAACTCACGGATCTTTTGGGACGTGCGACAACCTGGTCCTAGAACGGTTTGCGTGGCTCGGATGATCGCCATCTAATCAACAATACAACATCACATGCATGGTTACGAAGAACATATAGACAATGATCATAATCCATAAAAATTATCCGAAATTTCTAAAATCCAATCCATGCGAAAACAAAGCGAAACAATATCCCATGCGAAAACAAAGAAATATTTTTTATTTTTTTTTTTAAATCCAATCTAGAAATCAAACAATTCAAATAGCAGAAGACAATTATTTCGGCTCCCTCTTCATTTCTTCGTCATAATGAGCCAAGGTGTAAACCCTCGATGGAGCTCTTTCTCCAAGCCTCCCTTGTCTGGCCGGAGGTAAGTTTTGCTGTGGTGGTGGTGGCGGTTGACCGATTCCCGGATAATTTACTCTCAAGTGTCCAGGCTTCTTGCAACGAAAACATATGTTCTGCCCCAACAGACACTCTCCACGGTGCTTCTTGCCACAGTTATGGCATTCCTGCCTATCCACGGCGGGCACTTGCTGCAGTGGCCGGGGTTGGAGAGCTTGGCCACCTTCTTCCTTCTTCTTCGGGTGTTCGAATTTCCTCTTCTTGTTTCTACCTGAAACTTGAGCCTCCATGGATTGAGTAGCCTCCTTTTCTAGCTTGATACTTGCCTCAATTTGCAGCGCCCTGCCCACAGTTTCTGCATAGGGAAGATCTCCATAGCTCGCCACTAGGTGTCGGATAGTAGGTTTCAAACATCTTCTAAACTTCTTCGCCCTTTTATCATCTATATCCAGCAGATTCTCCACAAAATAGCTTAGCCTAGTGAATTCCGTCTCATACTCATCCACAGTTAGGCTCCCTTGAGTTAAGTTCCAGAATTCACTCTCCAGTTGCTCGCGATTGTGATGGGGATAGTACTTTTCCGCCATGATCTCCTTGAACCTCTCCCAGGTCAAATTCGTGCGCTCGTCTACCGACTTCGTCCTCCAATAGGTGGTCCACCACCTCTTAGCATCCTCTTTCAGCTGGTATTGACCGCACGTTATCTTCTGCTCATTTGTGCAACCCAACACCTCAAAGATATCTTCCATTGTCATGAACCACTCATCTACATGTGCCGGTCCTTCTTTTCCAGTGAAGATTGGCGGATCCATCTTTCGGAAATGTCCCATCATCTTAGCTTGATCCATGCCGTTGGCCGGTGGCACCACATTTTGATTTCTTCTTGCCATTTCTGGAAGATACTAGAGTTAATCGCTTGCTTCTAAGCTCACTATGTTTGATCATCTCTAGAGTTCGAATCCATTCATGGGTAGAATCTTAAGCCCCAACTCATGTTATTCTATTATGCACGTAATAATAACTTCACTCAAATAACTTACCTCAGAGTTGGCATGGTGTGACGGTGGCGAGTGGTCATTTCTTGAAAATACTTAAAAATATTTTACGAGTCTACAGAACAACAAAACTTGGGCTCTGATACCAAACTGTAACACCCCGCTTTTCGTACATTGAATTTCTAAAATAAATTTTTCTTTTTATAAAACTTTTGAAAACTTTACTTGAACTCAAGGTGCTACTCACTTTGAAAAACATTGCATACGTGAACCTTTTCATGAACATAAACATTCCATACATGAACATAGAACATTTCATGGCATTGCCTTGAGAACTTACACTTTAACTTGACTTGCATGAACCATGACTTATTTCATAAAATAAACTTTGCATAGCGGAAGCTTTTAAAACATAATTATCATAAACATAAAAACATGTGACCACCCTCGCCATCGCTCCTTTGCCAGCTCGCCAAAAATCTGGGTGTGGAAAACAAATAGGGTGAGCATTTGCACTTACTCCGTGAGAGATCCCTCTACGTTATCATACTAATCAACTATAAAGCATGAAATCGTTTTCGTATACTCCACATAATCATGAGCTCCCGACGAGTGGTGACCCACAAGTCGAAAGACTTTCTTGCTTCTACAACACTATTAGACAACTAAACACTAGAGTCTTTGCATGCATGCGATTACATTCTTGTCACACTCCCAGCACTCATCAAACTTCTTATACCACTTTATGGTGGTGGAAAAACAATGCCTCTCGCAGATGGCACGACCAAATAGGCTTGATGAGAGTACCTTTCAATAGGTTGAAGGAAGATAGTCTTTCACTAGGCTCCGTACAGTATTATCGACAGGGACAACCGTTCGAAGAGTGCACCAACGAAGGTTACACATAATCACTTACACCCTCTAACCCTAGCACTTAGCTACCCTCTAGAGTTATAGTCCGTGAACCTTGGTACTGCAACAAACGACTTGCTCGAATGTTGGAACATTGTATAAACATGGGTACTATGCAAGCTACTTAACTTCATTCATAGCATAGATAATTAAAGAGGATTAATAAAGTAGAACTTCCCCGACCTTTTCAGTAGAATGCTCGGCTTAGACTTGAACTTGACTTTGAAAGAAACTCGAGGGCTCGAGTCCTCGTAAAACTACATTCATTGGGGTTATGTCTTAGTGTCTTAACATGGAACATATTCTTATACTTATACTTATACTTATACATATAATCATACATAAGCTTTAGAAAAACATTGCTCGCTTGGCTTCGCTTTGCTTGCATTCTTTTAAAAACATTCTTATTTTAAAGCATTTGAACAATTGAACTCTTAGCTTGCTTGCTTACGGATACTATTTTAATCATCTAAGGTTCATCATGATCTCACTCAATGCTTTACAGCTCATACATGTCACATAAGCATGCTTAATAAACACAAGACTCACTTAAACAATTACACCTAGTCCTTTGACAAAACTTAACACGTGCTGCATTTTTAAAACGAGCATATCTTTCAACATACAAGTCGCATTAACATGATTCAAGTCTCATATTGCTCCTAAGACATGGTACTACAACTTTCATTTAGAACTCAAAAGCAAATAATGTAACACCCCGCTTATCAGAGTAAATTTTTCGCAACTTATTTTAACTCAGGATGCTACTAAAACTCATCTTTATTAAACAAGTATGATAACTTATCTCATTTATAAAATAAACGAGAAAACTTTCTTAAATAACACCTTTAAATCACACCAGTTCAAACTTACTATACATAGCGGAAGTCTTTAAGCGTGGCATATACAAATCGTTGCCTTATTGAATTTCACAAGCACACTTTAATAAACTCATAACTTGATATAAAATCCATTTTGCAAGTGAAATCATATTTGAAAACTCAACCAACACCACGATAGCTTGACTCACATCCTCGAACCGACCCTGTTACCTGAAAATGATATTAGTGGGGAGTGAGTACTTACTCAATTGTACTCAGTGGAAACAAATAATATCAATCTCAGAATCATGATCTCAGGTATATATAAGTAAACTGTAATCTCCCAGCCATAGGCCGGTAACTGAAACTAAACTTTGCAACTCCCGTACTGCCGGTCCTCATGTGCACATATTGGGGGCTGCCTCCCCAAAACTCAGTCTGGACTGAGCGAGACTTAACTTACTTAGGATTAAGACTACTGCGCCTCCATCCCAAGCATAACTCATATACATACCTTTGATCACGATTTAACTTTTATACTCAATGTACTACTCATACTGGTTCCCACCTTTTCGTCTTGAAAACTTTTGAAAAACGTAAGTGCTGTGCTGTAGCTGTATCTGCAACTACATAAAAATATAAACAAATATACTAAGTACTATGCTCATAATATTCTCAATAAGACTTTTAAGTTCTTAACTTTGATTTATTACTTATCCAAATCTTAAATATCTTGATATAGTCGAATTAATTCATCGAACAACTTAACTTCTCAAACTATTACTCAAGCTATCAAATAGCTCATATAAATAAAGTCTTCAACTCACATATCATTTACATAACTTGAAGGTGAAAATAACTCATACATACAAATCATAACATCATGATTATATGTAACACTTGAAACAATTTATATAAAATTATTCTCAACATATATCTTCACTTATTCCATAAAAATATGAAACATTCATCAACATGAGATAAATACTAAACATCTCATTCAAACTTGGTCTTTTACTCATGAAAATATACCATATCACATATATAACATATCATGCACTTATCATAAAATATAACTTGAATACTTTACTCAATTATAATCCATCAACTTATATGAATCATACTCTATAACTTGAGATATTGACTAGTAAAACTTGTAAGTGAAATAACTCTATTCTCATAACTCAACTTCTCAACATCAAACTTATCTCATGATTCATAATAACATCAAATAAACTGCTAACTCATGCAATTACATAATCATCATACTTGAACAATTTATGGAATTGCATATAATACTCAACTTATCAATTGATGATTCATAATCTTCTTAAACTTGCTCCTTATATCATGATCAAGTTATCTCATAAAATTTCATACTTAATTTACATGCTTGCAAATATATTAATATCAAAACTCATCAACATATTAACTATGTAAAACTCATACTCTTACACTTAACATGAAACATATTAAGCTATCAACTTCAACTTTATCACCTTATTAACATGATAAATCATATTAATTCTATTGATATCATGAATTAACATACTAACAAGTTAACTCATACAATTCTTAACATGAAATAAATACTATCATGCCAATCTAACTCATATCTCAACTTATACATGTTATGAAGAATAACTTATACTAATCATGGTATATCACATACTTGATTCACATATCAACATAAGTTCCATGAATCATATTAACATGCTTACTATTAACATGTATTTATCTCAAATACAAGAATGAATTACCTCCTTCAAGGACTTGAGGAAATTAAAAGACTTGAATTTGAAATTTGAAAGACTTGATCTTGAAGGACTTGCACTTGGAAAAACTTGAACTTGAAAGACTTTACTCCAAAATACTTTGCCCTCAAAAATCCTTACTTAACTCTCAATATAACTTTGATAATGTAACTTTGGTGTAAATTTCCAAGTCTTGAAGCCTTCTATTTATAGGCAAAACTTTTGAATTAACAAATTTAAAATAAAAATCTGATCTTAAATCATCATTTTGACTATCAACATTAGCCATCATCATCATATCATCAACTTTCACCAATTTCTCATCTACTTTCCAACCATTTCTCATCTAACTTTCATCAACTTCTCATCAACTCTTAAGACATGATTAGTCAACATAAACATCAGCTCAACATTTATAATTGACATATAATACATGAATTTACTACAATTTATGATATTAATATCAATTTCTAACATAATCTTAAATCAATTATATGCATAATATACTAACACTTTTAAAACTCCAATAAATCATAATCTTTACTATAATATCATGCATAATAAAATGATTATAATGAACTATAATTAGTACGAAAACCAAAAACTCGAAAATCTGAAAATTTACTAGTCACACGACTCGTGTCCATGACTCACACGACTCGTGTGAGTCCACACGACTCGTGTCACTAGCTCACACGACTCGTGTGAAAAAACCGAAGCTAAATTTGGAAATTGCCTTGAGCCACACGACCCGTGTCACTTGTGACACGACCCGTGTGAGACCACACGACTCGTGTGGCTACCCACACGACTCGTGTGGCTTGAAAACTTCATTTTCTTAACTTCTTTGACCTCAGAATAACTTAATCTTTAAAAATTACTGATACTTACTACTAATAACTGAATGGGATATTACAAATAAGGTCATATACCATGGTCCAAAACCAGTATACATTCAAAGCTAACATACTGTCCAGAGATTTAACATAAATTCATGCGCGGTTTTACGAAAGCAGGTATCATTCACTACTCGGATCATATTTTTGCTTGATTCCAGAACCACATGAAAGATAACACATAGAACTACAATTTCAATGAAGACTTCAGGTTCATTTGAGTACATTATCATATCATAAACACACAAAACATCCAAACCTAACTGCAGCCGGATTTAAGAAAAACTGCTCGCGCAATAATTTGGTAAAAATCATAACTTATTCGTTTTAAGTCTAAACAGCATGATTCCAAAGCTCACGTAAACACAACTGAACGAACTACATATCATATGAAGAGCTCGAAAACCGAAAACACAATCTCAGAGGCCTAAACTGCTCCCGAACAGACAGCACGAAAACAGCAATTACACATGAAATCATACCAATTTTATCCGAACTTCTTAACATGTCGAAAGCAACATATAATCGATGATTCTAGGCACGTTTATCACACAATAAGACACGATTATGAACACATAAACTGACAACAATTAACCCTATGCACATATCATTCAATCAATTCTTTAGGAAGCCCGGCAAGGCTTCGACCAATTCCAATTCATCATTTAACTCAAAATTATTTACTCGGACTTTAAGCAAGCATACGAGGTTCAATTATCAAGTCTTAACACATGAATAATTTGTTCATGATTATTCGAATTCAAAATAATAGTCCATAGAGGGTAAGCAATAGGGTTTTACCGCTCGGGAAAGGCTAACGATTCGAAAGAGGGCTTGGTTGAACTTGGCCGTGAACCTGGAGGGGCTGTTCGTGGCTAAACGATGGGCTGCGGTTAAAGGCTGGGATCCTTTTCGGCTCGGCCGCTCTCGCTTGGGCTCGCCGGAATCACTGCGAAGGTGTTGCAACGATGGCGAAGGGCTGCTGCACGGTGTCAAACGTCGGAGGAGCTGCTGTCCGCGGCGGAGGAGGCAGCTTGCTGCGGTGGCTGTGGCTTGCTGCGGCTCGGCTCACGGTGGCTGAGGGCTGGGGTCTGCTCGACGTGGGGAGGAGCTGCGACGGTGGAGCTCGCGGTGACAAAAGGCTGCAGAGGTGCTGCTTCACGGTGGCTAGGACGCGGCGGACTGCGTCGGCTACGTTTAACGCTCCGACGGAACTCGGCGGGGCTCGACGGCTACGATGGGTACTCCGACGGAACTCCTCGGGTCCCGACAGCGTTGCTTCGTGGAGGGCTGCTCACTGCTGCGCAAATCGCTGGAAAACACAGAGAATGGGCGGTGATTTGAGTGATGATGATGGTGCAGAACTTGGTCGCGGGGAGGGTGATGATCGCCGGACTGCTGGAGAGGAACTTCTCCTATGGGTGGTGATGGTGACGATGATCGGCTACAGTTCTGATGGTGATTGACGATGAAAAGCGAGAGAGGGAGAGAAGAGAGAGGGTTCGGCGTGAGAGGTTAAAAGAGAGAGAGTGCCGAGAGAGATGAGAGATATTTAATGTGTGGGATTGGTACCGTGTTTAAAAAAGAACTCTTGCACAATAAAACTAGGTAATTGATATAGGCTAGGACTCTTATTGCTTGAATGAGGAATAAAACATCGTGAAGTCTTTGAGCTTTTATCTGGCTTAGGAAAATTGGACTGTTATTTGAGCTCAATTTATCATCTTAATAATTATTATCTTCAATAATTAAAATTATCTTAATTAAATTAAGCCATTTCATAATTAAAATTATATTAACATTATTGCATTAATACTTAGGAAAAATAAATAGATGAGGACATCTAAATAATTCCCTTTTAATCATTAACTTGATAAATAAATGAGTGTGGACACTCACTCAATTATCACATAAAATCGAGCTTACAATAAAAATAAAAATAACTTAATAAATCATTAAATTAAACATAAATAATATCCATGAAAATAATACTTAAGCATAAAATGAATGACATGAGTTTGGGGTGTTACAGTGTCCGAGGATGATTCCGAGCGGACTCCGTAGCGAGTTTCTATTGTTTGTGAATTCCTTGATGTTTTTCCCGATGAGCTGCCCGGAGGACCACCCGACCGCCAAGTGGAGTTCACCATTGACTTAGTACTGGGAGCTGGCCCCGTGTCTAAGGCCCCTTATCGTATGGCCCCGAAGGAGCTTCACGAGCTTAAGGCCCAGATCCAGGAATTGCTCAGACTCAGTTTTACTCGACTGAGTGTTTCGTCGTGGGGTGCACCCGTCCTATTCGTGAAGAAGAAAGACGTATCCATGCGTATGTGTATTGACTACCGGGAGCGGAATACCCTTACAGTCAAGAACAAGTACCCTCTTCCTTGTATTGAGGATCTCTTTGACCAGATGAGAGGAGCCAGCGTCTTTTCGAAGATCGATTTGCGGTCTAACTATCATCAACTGAAGATCCGGGAGTCAGATATTTCTAAGACTGTCTTCCGGACCTAATATGGCCACTATGAGTTCGTAGTCATGCCGTTCGAACTCAGCAATGCCCCAGCAGTTTTTATGGACCTTATGAACAGAGTCTTTCATCCTTTCTTGGACCAGTTTGTCATTGTGTTTATCGACGACATCCTGGTCTATTCCCGAGATATCGACCAGCACAAGGAGCATCTGAGGATTGTGCTGGAAACCCTTCGCCGCGAGAAATTGTATGCCAAATTTTCGATGTGCGAGTTCTGGTTAGACCGTGTGGCGTTCCTTGGCCACATTGTGACTGCGAGAGGCGTTGAGGTGGATCCCGGCAAGATCGAGGCGGTGAGCAAGTGGGATACGCCAAGAAGTGCCGCTGACATTCGTAGTTTCCTGGGGTTAGCAGGATACTACCGGAGGTTTATCGAGGGCTTCTCGAAGATAGCCCAACCACTAACCAACCTTACGAAGAATGCCGTGAGGTTTGATTGGAGTCAAAAGTGCGAGGAGAGTTTCCAGAAGTTGAAGAGGAGACTGACTACCGCGCCCGTCTTGTCCATACCTGACCCTACTTTGGAGTTCACGATCTATAGTGATGCTTCGAAAATGGGCTTGGGTTGTGTTCTCATGCAGCAAGGGAGAGTCATAGCCTATGCTTCGAGGCAACTGAAACCTCACGAGCAGAACTACCCCACTCATGATCTCGAGTTAGCTGCAGTCGTCCACGCCTTGAACATTTGGCGTCACTACCTCTATGGGGGCAAGTGTGAGATCTTTACCGACCACAAGAGCCTAAAGTACATCTTCACTCAGAAGGAGCTGAACATGCGGCAGCGTAGGTGGTTGGATCTGGTCAAGGACTATGACTCCACGATTAGCTACCATCCTAGAAAAGCCTACGTGGTTGCCGATGCCCTTAGTCGAAGAAGTTATGGCCAGCTGTCTTGTCTATTCACTGGGCAAGATGTTCTGCTTCGGGAGTTCGAGCGGCTACAGCTAGAGACAGTGGAGTCGACTTCGGCAACCGGGGGTATGTTAACCAGCTTGGTTGTGGGACTGAATCTTCGAGAGAGGGTAGTCGCCGAGCAGTCGAATGACTGTTTTCTGTGCCGGATGAAGGATTTGGCGTTTAGTGGTCAGATTGGTGGATTCGCAGTTGCAACCGACGGAGCTTTACTCTTCGAGGGTAGACTTTGTGTTCCAAAGGTTTGGGAGCTGCGAAAGGAGATTCTGAGAGAGGCCCATAGTGCCCCGTACACCATCCATCTTGGTAGCACGAAAATGTATCAGGACTTGAGGAAGTCTTTCTGGTGGCGAGGCATGAAAAGGCAAGTAGCGAGGTTCGTTGATGGGTGCCTGGTGTGTCAGCAAGTGAAGGCTGAGCACCAGAAACCGAGAGGGTTGTTGAAGCCCCTTGAGGATCCCATGTGGAAGCAGGAGTGCATCACCATGGACTTCCTGGTGGGATTGCCTAGATCGAGGTCCAGGTATGATTCTATTTGGGTGATCGTGGATCGACTCACGAAGTCTGACCACTTTCTGCCAGTTCAGACGACCATGAAGGCGAGTGATTACGCCGAATTGTTCATCAAGGATATTGTTAAGCTTCATGGGGTGCCCGTGGAGATTGTGTCTGATCGAGATCTAAAGTTCACGGGCCAGTTCTGGAAGACGTTGCACCGAGCCATGGGGACGAGGTTGGAGTTCAGTACAACCTTTCACCCCGAGACAGATGGTCAGTCGGAGCGTACGATCCAGTACTTGGAGGATATATTGAGGGCTGTGGTCTTGGACCGGAGCCTGACTTGAGAGTATGCCCTTCCGTTAGTCGAGCTGACCTACAATAATAGCTACCACTCTTCGATCAAGATGGCCCCGTATGAGGCATTGTGCGGACGGAAGATTCGGACTCCTTTGTATTGGGATTAGGTCAGAGAGAGGACGATCATGGGTCCGGAGTTTTTTTGGAGTATTGCTGCGACAGTAGAGGAAATCCGGAAGACCATCAGGGCTGCCCAGGAGAGGCAGAAGGTCTATACCGACCGGAAGAGGCAAAATGCAGTTGGAGATCATGTCTTCTTGAAGGTTTCACCCATGAGAGGTGTGATTCGCTTCGGTAAGAAGGGAAAACTTAGACTTCGCTATATCGGGACGTTTGAGATCTTAGCTCGAGTCGGGGACTTGGCGTATCGACTAGCTTTACCACCGGACTTGTCGGGGTGCACGATGTATTTCATGTCTCGATGCTTCGGAGATATGTGCATGATCCTGATCATGTGGTGGACTTCGGCGAGCTGCAGGTCGAGCGAGACCTTACATATGAGGAGGTATCGGCAGCCATTTTGGATCGGAAGGTCCATCAGCTGAGGAACCGGGAAGTGAGTTTGGTGAAGGTGCAGTGGTGCCGACACGATAAGTCCGAGGCTACTTGGGAGAAGGAGGATGATATTAGGAGGCGTTATCCGAACTTTATGTTCTGAGTTCCCCTTTGTATTTATTGCTTTCTAGTTTTATTTTCGAATTTCGAGGACATAATTCTTTGTAAGGTGGATAGACTGTAATACCCCATGCGATTGTGGATTATTTGGGTTATTATTAATTTTTCTTTATTAATATTTGCTCCCCTTATTATTATTATTTGGTTAATGTGACTATTATTATTATTATTATTATTATTATTATTATTATTATTATTATTATTATTGTTATTATTGTTATTTTAATGCCTAAATTGTCAAATTGCTATTATTTGTTGTTATTAGTATTTATTTATATTAATTTTCTAAATGATTATTATTATTAAATAAATATTATTGTGTGTAATCTTGTTATCATCCGACTCGTTAATTCACTGTTATGAGCCTTAAACAACGTCTTAGGCAACTTAATATCTTCATCGACATGGTCTGAAGTCACCCCGGTTCATATCACAAACCGGCATAACCATAGAAGACCGAAGTGATCACTACTAGCCGAGGACACCCCAACCGAAATCAATATGAATCGAGGTCGTCACCTCCTAAGCAGGTGACAAGGCGCCTACACGCCATTCTCAAAAACTACGAGATCTGCTGAGACCCACTGATCCTGCCGCCCACCAAAAAGTAGCTTTATAGAGAAAGCAATGCACGAATCCCTATATGTATCTCAAAAAGTTGCTATAAATAGCGAGTCCATAATACTTGTACGGGATTCGATATTTCCGAACCGTACTCTTTTATGATGAAACACGAAACGACTAACAGAAGCTTTTCACCTCGGTTCACCTCGGACCAAGGCCATTGTTGAGAATTTCATATATACTTTACGTTCAAATCACTAATAATCATCAAGCAAACCTATCTTCAGATCGTTGTTAATAATCGCATAACAACAGTTTGGCGCTAGAAGGAGGGCTTCATAAGTAATTTGAGGCTAATCTCCGATTCATGTTTTGTTACCCACATCAATTGCTACAACTATGTCTCATTCAGACCATCGTGGTCATACAACGCGAGATGGTCACAGTCGCAGCGCCGCTCAGTCTGCCAGACACCAAGCAGCAGCTCCCAATATCCCAGATTATACTGTTCTGTTCCAAAACCCAGAGTTTGCACGTAGGTTCGCCGCTTTGATGGCTCAAACAATCCCTGGAACGTCAACGACTGCACCAGGACAGTCCATAATACCCACTACTCCCGCCAATCCGCAGATTCCACCGGCACGACAAGACGGTGGAAGAACCACCTCTCATGCCACGTCTCAACCTCGCAGTCGAACGTCGCAGCCGCACCCAGAACAAGCCACACGTCACGCTGACGTTGGGCGTACTCTCCTTGTAATTATTCGTGAAGAAACCGCCGAGAGTCAGTCTGGACACTCACGGTGTTCGCCACCTCATACGCGACACCGAATTCCCTCTAACCCAGCGCAGACCGACCTTCGTCAGCATATTGAGAGAAACTGAGCT